TATCTGCAATCCCTCACTCACAACGGATCCCTACCTAACAGGGAAAAGGTTGGACAGCCAATTGTCCAAAGGCAAGCGCACGGCTGCCTATTTTCCTGCTTGGCTCTTGAGCCCACCCTGGGCAGCGGTCAGTCGTGACATGTTTGGTCACATTCACCACCTGTGCTTGCATCCCCCCTGACCAACGTGTCAGGACAAGGGGTGGAACTCCTCATAGTTTTCCTTCTCATCCCAAGGATATCCGTTGTCCTTGGCCAGCTTCTTCACAAGGTTCAGGAAGGTTATGTGGTGTTCCTCCAGCTGTTTCAGCATCATGCGCTTGTGAACCTTTCTTCCGGACTCAAACTTCTAATCATGGATGAGTCTCCACATCTGTCTCTGTTGGTAGAATTGCAGCATCACCTTGATCGCGTTGACCTTGGTGAGGGCGTCCGCAAGCTGTGCTAAGCCATTCACCCATCGAAATTGTGTGCCAATTTGATAGGCTCTGTTCACTGCCAGCGTCAACTCGTAGCCGCATCGGCTATCTCTCAAACCATGTAGACCACTGAGGTTTCTCGTAGCAGCGTCATAGATACCACGGCTATCAAGCACCAGCGCACCTTTCACCTTCTTGGCATGCTCGTTGAGGTGTCCTCGTTCAGGTACAGCTCCAAGCATCTCAGCAATCAGGGCGCGAAGTTGGAAGTTCATATCTTCTCCAAGGGTCAGTCCTTGGACTTCCGATCCATTTGATCCAAGACTTTGTCTCGGGGCCTTTCCAGACTTCCACTGCAAAACTGAGAATTGTCTTTCCTCTCCCCACAGAACATCCGCAGGTGCAAGAGCTGAGAGGATTCCAACAGTTGATGACCGATCAGGTCTGTTTCCTTGACTGGCATCGGCCCAGGTAACGACTGCAAAGTCTTTTGTATCCCAGGTTGGAAAAAGTAGACCTTGAGCAGCTCGGCGTCTCATCTCGCGGACAAGCTTGTTCGCCTTGTGCAGGGTCTCAATGGTAGCTTTTCCAATCTCAGAGAGAAGTAAAGATGTTTCAGCCAAATACTCTGGAGCGGTCTGTGTCGATCTCCAGCTGATAGTCCCAAGAACTCCTCGTAGAGCAGTAACTTCAGAGGGAGTCAAAGGTGACTTCCGAGATCTGTTTGGGTCAATGGAAACTTCTTCGATCCACCGCTCGGTGTAGTCTTTCTGGTTCATCGTGATGGACTTGTCGGAGTGCTGCACGATGTGGGTGCCAGCGAAGTCAAATTCATCCTGGTCCCACTTGCCCCACCGGAACGCTGACTGAAGCTTGGACTCAGCTTCAAGAAATTCCGGTGAGCCATCACCTGACAGCAAAAAGTCATCCACATGGATACCTGCCAGGCCGATCAGGGTTGTGACGCCATTGCGCTCGGCAAAGAGAGCGTAGAGGCATCGGTCGGCCTTCATCTGTCGCCATCCATGTTCCAGCAGAGTCCTCTGGCATCTCTCGAACCATTTCCTCGGAGCATGTGCCAAACCATAAAATGCTTGAACCACTCGCAGTGCTCGAGGATCTCCAGGTTCTGCTCCAAAAGCTCTTGCTAACTCGGGCGGTGCCCAAACCGTAAGACCTTCATCTTCAAGTGACGTGTCCGTCTGCAAGAAGGCTGATGTTACATCTCCTGACTTCAAAGTGAACTTCAAAGCTGCTGTCAATGCTAAGAGGGCATTCTTGGCACCTTTGCCCATTGTGGGGGCTGTCGTCTCGACCTCCGTCAGGTTGTGTGCTTGGAAACCAAGAACGACAAGTCTCGCTTTGGCGTCACCAGATGCCTTCCTTGTAAGCACCCATCGCATTGACATCACTGCACCCGGGTTGAGCTTCTCCAACTCCTTGGGCGTCAAATTCCGCAGCGCTTTGGAAACGATGACGTTGGAGATTTCCTTGGCCTGCGCCAAGTCGAATTCCTTCTTCTGATCCAGCGTCAGCTGATTCCAGCTAAGTTCACGTCCACGTTCTGCCATTTTCTTGGACAGCCATACTGTGCCACGCTTCTTGGAGTGGTACTTGGACAACCATGCGAAGTCCTCCTCTCCAATGTCCAGCTCGATGGCCACAAAGGTGTCCTTCGGCTTGGTCTCAACGTAGTGAGCGTCAGCTTCTGGCAGATCACCATCTTTGATCAGCTCTTCTGACTCAACAGAGTCGCCATGGGAACTTGAAGCGCTCGATGTCGATGAAGATTCACCATCGTCGATCTTGTTGTCAGCATTCTCCACAGGGGAGCTTCGACCATCGTAGTTGTCATACATGAACTGGGTCCCCCCTGAATCTTGGTGATGTCCTCGATGACCTCCAGGTAGGACACATTCAGGGGCAGAGCATAGATTTGATCCAGCACTCGCCGATGATCTTGCAGGCAATCCATCCAGTCGATCAGGACCTCCATGTTGTAGAGCTTGATGTAGTGATGCTGCACCACCTCCATCATTGGGAACTTGTTGATCTTGTCTTGCCGCTGTTCAGCGGTTGCGTGGTTGCATTTTGTTGTCTGTTTGTTGTCTGTTGTTGCCTGTTTGTTGCCCTGTTTGCTGTTGTTGTTGTTGTTGTTGCTGTTGTTGTTGTTGTTCTTGTTCTTGTTCTTGTTGTTCTTGTTGTCCTTGTTGTTCTTGTTGTTCTTGTTGTTCTTGTTGTTCTTGTTGTTCTTGTTGTTCTTGTTGTCTTGTTCTTGTTGTTCTTATTGTTGTTGTTGTTGCTGTTGTTGTTGCTGTTGTTGTTGTTGTTCTTGTTGTTCTTGTTGTCGTTGTCATTGTTGTTGTTGTTGTTGTTGCTGTTGTTGTTGTTGTTGCTGTTGTTGTTGTTGCTGTTGTTGTTGTTGTTGCTGTTGTTGCTGTTGTTGTTGTTGCTGTTGTTGCTGTTGTTGCTGTTGTTGTTGTTGTTGTTGCTATTGTTGCTGTTGTTGCTGTTGTTGCTGTTGTTGTCATTGTCGTTGTCATTGTCGTTGTCATTGTCGTTGTCGTTGTCGGTGGTTGTTGTTGTTGTTGTTGTTAGTAGTAGAAGTAGTAGAAGTAGTGGAAGTAGTGGAAGTAGTAGAAGGAGTAGAAGTAGTAGAAGTAGTAGTAGTAGTAGCAGCAGCAGCAGTAGTAGTAGTAGCAGTAGTAGTAGTAGTAGTATTTTTGTTGTTGTTGTGATTGTGGTTGTAGTTGTTGATGTGGTTGTTTTTCGTTTTGTTGCTTCTGCTGCTGCTGTTTTAGTATTAGTGTTGTCATTATTATTATAGTAGTAGTTGTTGTTGCTGCTGTTGTCTTGTTTCTTTGCTATCGCTGCGGTGGTGTGGGTGGTGGTGGTGGTGGTGGCGGGGGTGGGGTTAGCATGATCCGGGGTAGTAAGTAGCTGTATCTGGAGTAGTCGTAGGACGCGAGAGCTTAGGCTTAGGGTCAGGGGGAATCTCGGAAAGGTGGTAACTTTTTGTCAGTTCAATGGATTAAGACCAATGGCGCCGTTGTTTCTTGTTACTTACATTCGTCTGAGGCTCTGTAGCCATGGCTTCACTTGTATGGACTGCTCCGTGGCAACTCCTTTAAGCAAGAAGTGGTCGAAATACAGGAAACATGATTTGATTGATGGTAGGCGTGGAACTTATTTTGACAATTGTGGCAGCCGACTATAACGCCCACTGTGTACTTACGCGGTTTCTTTCGAAGCCTGGTCGGATTTATAAATAATGTTTGCGACATCGGTTGTAGCCCCGAGAATGAAATGGTGCAATTTACAGCAGGGTCAGCTTGGTGATAGAAAATCTATTGTTTATCGATTCTTGAATAATAATTATATAATAAAGGTCGATATATCATGATATATTATCCCAATTCCAGACACCCTGATGGTCACACAGACTCCATTTTCAGTGTTTGCCCGGCCGCTTTGTAGTCTTTGGTGCTCAAGCCAGTTCCGACCCGTCGACCCTCTAGTCTAGTTGTTATGGGGTCACAGGAGCTGCAGGAGTTTCACAGGGTGATCTTTGTGAGCGCAATGGCCCTGGAATCCGTCGTCCTCTGGGATGACATTGTCGAAAAATTCGAAGACAATCCGACTCTGTGCACCTCTTTGGGGGTGACTCTTCAAGAGTTGACGGACGTCGCACAGACCATGAGACAACTCATGGACCGCGCGCACGATCGCAAGAGAGATTTGCAAAGGACTTTGGAAGCTGCCTTGCAGCCTGTGCAAGACTTGCATCCTCGGCGACTACGATCTGAATTGGACGAAATGTGGGAAGAGCAGCCGATGCTGCTCACGCTCACTTACCGACAGAAATGGAAAGCATGCCGCTTCTGAACGCACCTCCTCTTCAGGCAGAGGCAGATGAATCGGCCATTCGGGACGACCAGGACCACGAAGATCCGGCTGGCTCTGACAATACCGTGGGTCAGACGGTCTACGGACCTACTCTATAGCACCAGGATCTACGGATCAGTGTCTACGGACCGGCAGGCCTACGGACCGGCAGGTCTACGGACCTGAGAGGTCAGTCTGCGGACTGATTCAAGCCACTCTTGAGCAGCCTGGGATCTACGGATTCTGGAATTTTTGATTTGGATAGACTACGGTCTATTAAATAGATTATTGGTTTTCAACCAATCGTGGCGGGTTGTGGTCTTGACTCTGGAGAGAAACTGCTCACTGAGGAGTCGCTCTCCAGCGTCATCATTGTCATCATTGGCCATACTTAGAATTGGTGATCTTAGTCAGTTTCAGCTGTCAAACTAAACCTGTCAACTCTAAGCGTGGCCAAAAGAAATCGCGGGTGGTGGTTGTGACAAAGTCGGACAGCGTGGTTCCGCGGCAAATACCCATGTGATGAATTCTGAACCGCCAGGCGTCTCGGCTCAAACACTGTCACCAACATGAGATGACCAGAATGATTACTAAGAACAAAAAATCAAGACATGCAGATGTTTCCAGTAATGAAGAATTAATATTATAGTTCAGTCATTGAATGTCTGGTATTAATTCTTAGGGGTGAGCCGCCGCCATGGACGACAAAGTTCGTCTGCTGTCACAGTTAGTCCCTGGGACGCTCCTCCTCCAACACCTGAAGACTTGTAAGTTAGAGACAACTGACTGCGGTTTGTGCGCTGTGCACGAAGCTTGGAAGTTGTACAAGCGAGACTGGGTCCGGGCCATTCTCAATGATGGCGTCATCGCAGTGGGATGCTCCACTTGTTGTAAAGCAGGATTGGACGGTCCTTGGGGGAATTTTAAACAGAAGCCCGAGGCTGTTCTGCGAAAGTTCTGCTTAGATAGACATGAAAATTCGAAGGGTCATCAAGCAGCGTCCAAAAGCCAGTCCACGGACTCAGCTTTGCATCTTGCGCCGTCGCAAGAGTCCTTCGAAGAATTTCTCACTCAGACTTTACAAGGTCAGTCAGTGAGAGATGGAGGCGTGACCTCAGATAAGCGCATCAAGATGCGCTGGGCCTTGACTGAAGCGATCCTTGCAAGGAACCGCAAACTGTTGGCAGACAGTCAATCGATGACGTTGCTTCGAGATGAGCGAAAAGGCAAGCTCTTAGTCCGCTTTCGAGCGGTTCTACGAGACCTGTCAACCGTAAGCGGTTGTTTCGGGTTGTTGCCAGTCAGTGGCTCAGCGGACAGCATTGCCTTGGCTACAGACACTTTGATGGAAGCTTATTGCACTCCAATGAGGCAGCCACCTCGAGCCTCCTGTGTGACAGAATCGTCTGTGGATCAGGCCTTGCTTCAGCACTTGCGACAGACAGTCACAATCATTGTCACTGACGCGGCTGCTTCTGAACAGCTTGCGACAGATTTGCAGCGTGGCCGGCGTGAATTTGCAGACGAAAGCGGCCAAGCGACAATGAAGAACGTCAGACTTGTAGGTCGTGATGCGGCCCACGCCAGCACACGGCTCCTCAAGCGGCCCTTCCAGGCATGCTCCGAGCTGAAGTGTGTCATGCAGGAGTGGTGTCACGGCAGTGACAGTTTTGCGCAGAAAGTCCAGCATAGCCCTGTCTTGGCCCAATGGTGGGCAGCAGCCGTGGAAGGCCCGGGCAGCGACGAATGTGATTTTGGAAGTCTGACATCCTTATCTGCGGCCAAGCATCGTTTTTCTTCATACTTGAACCCTCTGTCTCGCATTTGCAAGAATATGCAGGCTGTGTTCAAAGTGTGTAGCCGGCTACAAGCCATGAGAGGCTCGGAAGCTGCTTGGGCCGTTCAGTTGTGCCGAAATTTCTCCGCTTACAAAGCCGTGCTGCTCACGATGGCAGCTGATGCCTGCGCCATCAGCAATGATTACACTCGAGAATGTGATCAGGAAGGGATGGACGTTGCTCAGCTCAACTTGCGGGCTCAGCATTTCATTTCTTCGGCCAGGGCGTTGTTTGTGGAACGTCAAGTGTGCACCTTGCCATCCTTTACAAAGGATTTTTTGTCCAGAAAAGAGCCAGTTACCGTGATGCAAGACGGCTTCGCTTTGGAAGTGCGTGTGACGCCCGCAGACATCGACAAAGCCTTTGAAGTCATGCAGGACATTATTTTTGTGTATTCTTAGTAAGTTTACATTGGTTGAATCAAAGTTTCTCTAAAATAGAACTATTACTGTCATTTTTTAAGGATTAACCGGTCTTGATTTCTGAATTTGTCTGTCCTGCAGGAGTGGACGGCTCTTGCAGAAGAAGTGGTCGCCCGTGAATTTCCTAGCTGGCATTTGTTCGCAGCCTTTGAAGTCTTTCACTTGCCAGATTCCAAGGAATCTCGAAAGCTGAACGGCGAAGACTTGGAAAGGAACTTGGCCAGGTTGGCTCAAGCTTTCAAAGTGTCCACGGACCAACTGAAACGAGAGTTCACACAGATGCAGCCGACCGCTGCTGCTCTCAAGAAATCCGCCAGTTACTCGAACCGGGATGCTTGGAGGCAAGCCGTTTTGCGAGTGGGAGAACGAAGTCCGGCACAAAAAGCCCCCACAACTGCGCTTTGCACGGTTCTGGCGAGCTACCTGGCTTGGACTGCGTCTAGCAGTGGGGTGGAACAATTGTTCAGCACATTGAAAAATTCACCCACTGAGCAGTCCAAAGCAACGGGCATGGTTTTGGACACAGACAGGCGCACAGCCATGGCCATGGGGGACTGTCATGCTCGCGAAGCAAAGGTTGCGGCTGAAATTGTTTCAGAAGCTCGCCGCATTTATTGCACTTTGCTGCGATCCGGCATCTCTCGCACCACTACCCAGAAACGTTTCGACAAAGGTCGACCATCCACTGGCCGCAAAGGATCTCACGCTCAGTGGGATCGGGACAGGAAACAATCCTTGGCCACGGCCTTGCAAGATTTGAACACGCCTCCGCGAGCAGCAACCGCTCCCATGCTCACGGAGTCTGCTGAAAAGGAAAGAGATTTCCAAAGAAAGAAAGCATTCAAACGGAAGGCTGAAGCCTTGTCTGATGGTTTACTTTTGGCAGATGAGGTGACACCGGCGCTGGAAAGCGCAGCCAGCAAAATGGCTAAGGCCAACCAGCAAGGCGATCGCCAGCGAAAAAAGAAACGTCTGGGTTACATTGCTGAGTCGAAGATGGCTTCCGCGAAGAAATCTTCAGTTTGGGCAAGTCAAGGCCTGCAGGGTCCTGTTTGGTTGGATCCCCGCTTGGGCACCCATACGCAAGCTGTCCAGCGCAAGTTGCACACTTTGGGCGTCACTTCGCATTCTCAGGCCAGGACTGTGTAATTCCACTTGCATCAGATCATGTGGTTCAAATTTGTGTTGCCCATTCTTTTTAATCTCATGCCGGCCAGGACATGCAGCAGGCCAACTTGCTCGTTCTGGCGAACTTCGGGCAAGTCGAGGACAGAGTGAAGGTAGCGGCGGCTCTGCAAGGAGCTGTGGTTCTGTCAGCTGCTGTTCTCTTAGGCAAGGGAGGTGTCAAGCTCACCTACAACAGAGGTCTCCGCATTGAAGCCGCAGTGTTCGTGACTCAGGCCTTTAAGATAGAGCAGCCTGCTCTTACAGCTTTGCTTCGGGTCGCGTGCGCCAATGGTTGGCTCGCGGTGAAAATGAGCGATCTGAAGGGTCGTGGCAGAAAGCCGAGTTTGCTTTTACGGGGGAAAGATGAAGTCGTCCAGGGGTTTGGGAAGACTAGAGTTAAACTTTTCGACCGAACAGAATTTGTTCGGTGGGTTACAAAGACTTGCTTGAATCAGCAGCTCAGTGCTCGTGTGAGCGCGGCATTCTGATTCGTCGTAGCCAAGAACCCGTAGTGGATGGGGCAGCTGCGGGGCAAAAAGGCTTGGGACGACGACCAGGTGTTGCAATACATGACAGAAAGCATTCAAATTCCCATTGAATCATGTTACCACTGACAGGGTCGCTGTGGAAGTGACCAGTCTACTTCAAACGTGAAAATACCAGACTTTGTCAATCGCTTCAGAAACACGGCCGTTATGTGAATTGCTTTGTCTGTCATAGTCATTCGGCTCCATGAAATTTTCTGTTAGACCGTTCCCCAAAAAAAAACGGGCGTGAAAAAGGATGGTGGAGTGACCCACGAAGCGCTGCGGCAACAGTTGCTGCGGGTCAATTCGTTGGCCGGAAATTGGAAAACCAGATTGCAGCCTTATGAACGTAAACGACTAGGGACGATCTGCACGGCCTCCGACTGTTCGGGCTACGGCTCAGACCTGATTGCGTACAGGTTATTAGGGCTGCAAGGACGTGCGCGTCCAGTGCAGATGTCTGAAATCGATCCGCACAAAGTGGTGTTGCATGAGGCAGTGGCCAAGGCCTGTGGCTGGGACGTGCAGCCTGCCATGACTAGTGACATGTTTCTGCGGAAACCGGAAGAATTTAAGAGGTCGGATGTGTACGTGGCAGGGTTTCCATGCCCATCCTTTTCCAAATTGGGAAAAGGACAAGGCATTCGCGACCAAAGAGGCTTCTTGACATTGAAAGGGATGGAACACATTGCTTTGACACGACCAAGGGTCATTGTCCTCGAGCAAGTGTCTTCCATTCTTCAGAAAAAACATGAAAAGGTTTGGAATTTTATCCTCAAGACTTTGCGATCTTTGAACTATGATTTTGTCTACAAGGTGATGAACACTCGAGAACTCGCCGTGCCGCAAAGCAGGCCAAGGGTGTATCTTCTAGCAGTGGTGCAAGAAGTCGGGCAAGGTACTCTGGCCCTACCAGAGAAACGTTCCGTTCCAGTGGACTTGCATCATTTCCTCAGAAAGGACCAAGTTGGCACAGAAATTTTGCAGCTTCCCAGATACGAGCAACTCCTGGGAAAAGAATTGTGGCTGAAGGGATTTATATTAGATGTGGGCGCAAGCCCACGTTGGCAGCATGTGGTCCGGAACGCAGCACCTTGTCTGATTAAAACCCGAATGGCCCAGCAGGGATATTATATCCCAAAACTGCGAAGGAGGCTTTTGCCGGAAGAGGCTGCGGCCTTGCAAGGTGTTCCTGCTCGTGTCTTCGCCGCAATGAGTGCTGCTGCAAAGGACAATAACATTCCTTTGTCAGCAGTCGCTGGCAGCCTGGGAGATGCCATGTCTGTAAATGTTTTGGCCAGTGTTTTGATGCGTGGTTTGAATCATGCTGGTCTTGCCAAATTTGGCCCAAAGCAAGACTACTGGCGCCTGGTCGAGAACGGACCATCTGCTGCTCAGCTAAGTGATAATTTGTTCCTGCATGGTACGCCATGCGCGAGCAACCGGTGAACGCTGCAACGGTTAAACGGCGCAACGGTTGAACGGCGCCCCCCTCTCGCGGCTCTGGCCCGGGCTGGAAGTGCTGAGAGGGGCCCGGCACGCGTGATTGGCTGCAGCGTTGGATGTGTATAGAGACTGGGGAAATCCCAGTCTACTCACTCGAGTCTGGCCTGGTCTGGGTCCGAGAGAGAAAGGTAGTAAAACTTGCTCGCGTGATTGGAAGTGATTGGACCCACCATGCGTTCGACCATTTCCACTCTTCTCTCTCGAGTCTGGCCTGGTCTGGCTCCGAGGAAGCAAGCTGGGGGAATCCCAGTGTCCTTTCACCATCTGCGTTATGAAGTCATTGACGAGAGGGCATGGGTCGGATGGACTGCGGTGGTCGAAAAGGAGTGGGAAACGCGGCTGTGTTTGTTGAGAAAGGAGTGGGTATTGTCGAGAGACGAGTGGTTTTGGTCGAGAGTATTTGTAGGGAATCACATCTTATGATTTGGTGAAAATCACATCAGTAAAGTCTTTAGAGCTCGACTTGCACCGCTGCATCTTTATTTTTACAGCTGTTATATAGCTGTTTGGGATCAAAACTACGCGAGAGATCTACTCGTCTCAACCTGGCCGTGGGCAGAAATGGACATCCCCAATGTGAGTTCTTGGCGGCTCAACAAAGCCGAGAACCAAGAGTTGCAAGACCGGGTGATAGCTGGTGAGACTGAGTTGGACGTGAAGCGTGAAATTCAAAAACGCAAGGCCGTGGCTTGCGAGGAGCGGAAAAAAGCAGCAGCGGCCATTGCTTCAAAGCCAGGGCCCTCGGCGGGGAAAAAAAAGAAGGAGCCTATTATTGCCACGGCTCCCAATCCCAGAGCAGCTTCCAATTTTCAGACTGAGTCAGACCCGACCAATGCTGCATACTACGCAGCTGTCGAGTCGGATTTGCAGACAATTTTGAAGGAATTCCCTGGCTTGGAAGATGAAGCACCGCTTCCTTTGTCTTCCACAGAGACGGACAAGTCCCAGTCCGGTGTGCAGGAGCCATACAACTTGGAGAAAGGCAAGAACGCCTTGCAGTTGCACCAAGTGTACCGTTGCTGCATGTCCCTCTTTGCCTTGAACGTGGTGGGGTCACCAACCCCTGGCATTCCAATGAGTCGAAGAAGGGTCCTTGACATGAGCGCATTTTACTACCCGAATTCAGCCCCTGCCTACATGACAGGCCGGCAGGTCGAAGTGTGGGCAGACAGACACGCCTTGAGCGAAAAGCCCAAGAGTTTGCAAATGGTTTCCCCCGAGGAACTCGTTCACAGCATGATTGCGGCTTGCGCTGAAGCCATTCGGTGTCTCGTCTGCACATTTATTTTTGTACTAATCCTATGTTTTTTTCTGACCACATTGTTCATTTGTTATTAAAGCCTCTCGCTCAGGAAGAAGGGCGACATGAAAGCTGACCAGTGGGACGCCTGGCGTGCCAAGTGGAAGAGTTGCTTGCTCAGCATTCCGGTCTCTATCTTGGACTCCGGCTCTGAGAACGAGCCTGACCGTGTGTGGGTCAAGGCCTTCAACCGCCGACAGACCGTGAGACAGGAGCACGAGTCGTTGGTTCGCACTGCGATGCAAACTGCGCTCGAAATCGACCAGTTTCGAGTGATTTGTGAAAATCAACCGGGGTGCAAGGGGCGGCTTCAGCCCGCCCAACTGGCAGAAGAATTTGTCAAGCTTGGGGTAGCCTCGGTGCAGGGTGGCACTCGAAAAGATGGTGAAGACGATGGGCGCCTCACGGCCAACCTCATCAGTCAGGCCCTGGCAGTGAAAAAAGGCATTTTGGGTTCACCGCGAGCGGTGGAGATTCTTTTGGAGATGGAGGCTGCTTATGGCACCAGGAGTCCGTTTCAGCACATGAGTCGGTTGCATGCGGCTTCGACGAAACCCTCCACCCCGCACATGCGAGATTGGGTGCTCGAGTCTCTGTGGGACTGCCTGCAACAGAACGCATTGCAAGCTGGTGACATCACTAAAAGCTCCTTGACCGGCGACAAGCATCACGCGGGCCTGGTGGCGCTCTTTGAGCTGAAGAAGAAGGCATGCGCTGTCCATTTTTTGTCGTATCATGTCAATGTTGATGCTTTCCCTGCCAGGTGTGTGACCACTTCTTTGACATTCTGCTGCCCAAGAGCGGGATGCCAGAACCAGATCGTCAGCTTCTGAAAGAGAAGACCTCCAAGCACGACGTGTACAGGGCCAACTCTGGCGACGGTGACTGCTCCTGGATGTCGCGCTTGAACAAATCTGCCATTGAAACGTTCCGCCTGCTGGAGGCGCGGCGCTTGTTTTTCTTGCATCCCCTAAAAAATTGAAAAGTGATGATCGTTTCTGCTTCTCAGGACCTGGTCTTTGGCCGAAAGTTTGACAACTCCTTGAAACAAAGTTGCAAAGCCTGTGCTGTGGCAGAGGCAGCTATGGAGCATGAAAATGTATCGTCGGAATGGAACAAAATTCTCGGCCTTCTCAAGAACGAGGAGATTGAGCGGAAGACAGCGCAAGGGCTGATGGCCGAAAAGGAGGAGGGCGCAGGCGAGGCGTGCGAGCTCGAGCTTCTGCGAAAGCCGCCCCAGCAGCATTCCGAAGGTTCCGAGAGTTACTGGAAAGCAGTGGCTAACCAAACAGTGAGAACCTACTGCTGCTTCAATCCAGAACCTAAGACCTTGGAAGGAATGATCTCGTGGACTTCGAGTGTGCTTCAAGAATTCCACGGTGAAGTTGGGAAGAGCTGTGTCTTGACGCACTTGGACTTGGACGCTTTGGGCGAGAGTTTGGGGCCCAGTCAGCAAGCCCTGCTGAGGAAGCGCTACAACCCTGACAGTGCCCTCCTTCGCAAGTTAGTCCATGGAAGCATGATTGGCAGAAACGCACAGCGCAAAGAAGATGAAGCAACGTGCCCTGCCGAAGGCGAGTTGTTGATGGTGCACACCGGGTTCGACAGAACGTCCAAGGACATAGAGTCGCTCTTTCGCCCGTCGACTGCTCGAAAGGATGCTCCGTTGGAGGCAGAGCTGAAGGAACTGATGATCGTCTTCACGGACAAGTCCATTCGAAGTCGTAAGAAGAAGGTTCGTGGTTCCTATACGACCAGGTCCCAGGCCTGTCTGATTTCTGCCGTGCCCTTTGCAAACCTGCTTCCAGAGAAAGCCTACCCGGAATTTGGTGGCCACAACACCGCAGACGTGTTCTTCGGTGTGACAGCCCTGCAGCCGGAAGAGCTTTTGTGCCTCTCCAGGACTCACCGGATTTTCTTTATCCTCCATGTCAGTAAAATTTATATTTTCCGTCGCCTCTGCAATAGATACACCATCGCGGTAAAAAAAAATAAAACACCATCGAGATATTAATACTACTTACCCGATAATATATATATATATAAATATTCACCCCTTCATATTTAATATGATAACCCATCGATATCGATATGTATATTATTCCTTCCACCGATTAGCTATTGTCACCCCTATATGCCCTGGACGAAATATTTTCCCCTAGGATTTTTTTAATGCAATTTCCAGGAAAGAAAAGGAAGAGATTCTGGGCGCCGACCGGGTCGTCTCTGTCACAGAAGCTGCAATGGAGAAAGGGAAGTCACAGGACGTCCAAGCTGCGACTGAGAGTGTCTTCAGCGGGCCGGCTTTGCCTCAGGCCTTATACAGGAGTTTTCTGAAGGCGCACAGCGTCAAAGCCGTGTGCCTTGGTGGTTGCACCTCATGTTACGGAAACAAATCGACATGCCTGAATGTTCCGTTTCTTTTTTCTTATCCTTGCAGTTGTCATCATTGAACTAAGGCTGGATTTGTCGAGCTCGCAGGGTGAATTAGCGAAAGCATGCGTTGCTGAACGCATTCCTTTCGCAGGGCTGACTCTGTCAGAGCCCCACTCCACCAAGTTAGAAGTCATGCTGACGGAGTTCGTCCTGTCACTCATGCAGTCGGAAGGAAGCACGTACTATCGTGCAGATTCCTCGGCCATGGCCTCGGAAGTTTCCAAAAAGCGCAAGCACACTGGAGAGGAGGGTCAAGAGGACACAGGTCCAAAGCCCAAAACCAAGTCCAAGGCCAAGGCAAAAGCGAAAGGTACGCCCACAGAAAGCCAGTCCAAGGACACGGCAGCAGAGACGGAGGAAACGGAAGCGCCTGAGGTCGGCGAGGAGGACGACTTGCCTTGGTAGAGGTGACGGCTGCGCGTTTTGTTTTGTGGCTTTTTGAGACTGGTTAATCGCGGCGATTGTCAGCAGAGCCTTGCCACGAAAACCTCGTGGCCACTGAGACGTGTCTCGGTCGTGCATTGAAAGCTGACCGTGAGAGGTTGAAAAATCGCTGTTATCGACAGCCTTGGCTGCGCGTTGCGGTTCGGGTTTCATTCGACTGACCCCCCACAAAAACAAAAATCATTTTAATGGCAATGTAAATAAATAGTATGATTTAAGGGGAAGAATACAAAACTATATACCGTAGTCCTTCCGAGTCCACTCTGATCAGTATCATGTGTCATGCAAATTTAAAAATGAATTCGCTATAATAATTAACAGACACATAAAAAGTTTCCGACCCTTTGAGAACCACAGGGGTTTTTACCATCTCCGAGTCTGCTGCAGACCCATGGTCATGTCTGCATTTTGGCTCAAGCACCGACAACTGGAACGCACTGAATCCCAGGGACATCCGCGAAGACCACAGGCGCGGACATGTTTGGGTGGTTTTTTTGTCGGTTTAAATGCATATAATTGGTTTGACGGATGCAGCCAGGCATCTGCGGATGCTGGTCGCTGCGTACTTGCAACGGTCTACGGACCGGGTCGTGAACACATCTCATACAGGGAGGTGTGACCGATCTGAGGACTTTGTGCAGTCTACGGACTGGGTGGATACTGGGTGGATCTACGGATCTGGTAAAAAGTCGTGTCTAAGGACACAGACTACTCGGATCTCAATCGGTCTACGGATCGGGTTTTAAAGTGTCTAAGGACACACAGGTCTACGGATCTAGTCTAAGATCTACGGATCTCATCGATCTACGGATCGAATCGTCCACGGACATACAGTATAGGGTCTACGGACCGTGCCAAGCAGGAGGACAAGTAATCAGCTTTTCCAAGTTACAATGGCATTACAATATTTATAGTTATCTTGCGGCTAGTACTTTTTATGGTAATTAGTAGTATACTTAAATTCATCAGCCCCCCGGCCCGTCTCGCTGCAGGCAATGGGCACAACTAAGAAGGCCAACGACGACAAGGACCGGAAGAAAGCCGACAAGGGTGACCG